CATTAAAGAGGAAAACAAAAAATACATGATTTATTTATTTATTTATTTATTTATTTATTTATTTATTTTTCAAATTTGAGGTAAAATTGACATCGGGCTATATTATTTGAGAGGAGGGAGACCCTGCAGAATGAGAATCCCTGAAGCTTGAATACAAACCTTTAGATGCACTTGATCACTGAAACGCAAAACTGCAGTGGCTAAACCACACTGCTGCCAGTCTCAGATGTCAACAAAACAATGTATTTTTGGCTAGAGGAGAAGGCTGGAGCACATGGATCAGTATGAAAATATTTTATCACAGAGAGTAGAGACCAACGTTTTGATACCAGGAGTGATTTCGTAAAAGTTACAAATGGTTGGACATTTTCAAGATCACATCGCCCAAGATATTCTCTAGGTTGATTGGCTAAGGCACATTGTGGAAATGGTTATAAGTGTACAACAATATTACATGACTTGGTAAAAAGTCTAATATTTTAATTTAAAGAGCAAGGTCCTACCCATATATGCAAATAGGTGCATCTGGCTTAATGACAATAATAAAATAAAATAAATAGTATAAAAGAAACACAAAATACACCAAAACCTCACATCGTTGTCCACTGATATACTCCATGAAGAGAATAAAATCACAAAAAGAAAAAAAGGAAATTGCAGAAAAAATGGCAATATAATATATAATATATAATGCACAATCTACTCTACAAAATAACCCCATAGCGGAAGCCACCATATCTAAAACATTAGTCAATGAACTAAATAGTTTTAGAGCAAACATCTCTTCATTAACACTCAATGGTTCGACAGTGTTCAGAGAATAAACCCAGAATATTACCCTCTGTGTCTCAGTAAGTTCACCTCCTCTAGAAGACGAAGGGACCTTTTCAGTTCCTTACAACTTTCAAGGTGCTTTATGTAAGAATTAAGTAAGACTGCCATTCAGTGGTCAAATTTGTGTACTGCAGCCCATTTTCAAAACAAATGAGTGACTTTCTCACCCTCGTTCTATGAATTTCATGACTGTTGCCAGTTACAGTCCAGTGACAAAAGATTCTAGATGACGAGCGGACAAGTAAATAGAAAAAAACTTTTCACTGTTGAGCTGTTGGTAATTGAAAAAGTAGCTTGAGATAGTTTTAAAGCTAATTATTTGCTTCTAATTAACCATTAGCATTGTTAGCTCAATGTTAGCCTTTAAACTTCTTCATCTGATATCAGACTAAAACTAAAAGATGATGTGGCTTCTTAGGGGTACAAAAACTAACTTCTGGGTTGCTTCTGTTTCTGGCTCAGGATTTTCACCAAACTCTGCTGCGACTGGCTGGCCAGTGTCAAATGCCCGAGCTGCAGCGTTTGTTGGCAGAGACTCGGTAAGCCCACTGGGCCCACAGTTTATAAACAAAGACTACAGCCCTCTTTGGCCATTTCTAGAAAAACTGGCAACCCCCAGCCAGCTGAGAAGGAAATCCGTTTCATTGTGACCTTCCTTCAAACATGATTGAGACATTAAGGTAATTAGTGATTATTTTACTGTAGAATTCCTACTTATTGTACCGTAAAGGATGATGCACAGAGTCGCTGGATTCTTGTAAGCATTTTTTTTCAATCTTCATGAAACATCTAAAGCATTAATTTTCAAAAACTGATAATTCCCTTTATACACATTTTTTTAAATCTCTTTTCATTAATTACTTCAGGTTATTTTACTAAAAATATTTTTAATTTGGCCACGCAAATTATACACTTCATTTATCACCTTTTGGAGCATTTAATTCCACAGAAAATGAAATAGTTCAAATAAATACTTACCATGGTTTATAGGAAGAGGAGATGATGAACTGTAAGAAAATGGAACAGATTCATAAACACCCCGGCATGTCTGCATACACCCCCCACCTCCTCCACCATCCGCTGTTAATAAATGTGTTTTCATGCTTACCGACAGGTTAGTGTGCCCTCCTCTCTGTGGAGGTGATCTGTAGTTCAGGTGAGCATTTTATTTTCTACACACTAAAGCTCCTCCTCAAATGGGAACGCTGACGAGCTGAGCTCTCCTCCTTCCACAGGCGGTGTTGCCTTTCACTCAGTGAAATATGAGATCATGACCTCATCCATTCAGCTGTCTAAGAGGAACAATCATCAAGCTTTTATTATATTCTCAAACGCTCGCTGAGGCACCACCGTTTTTTTTCCACTGACTTTGAAAGGTAGAATAAAAAATGAGCAAAGGAATTGATATACTGAAAACAACCCTATTTTCTGTTTGATGAAGTTGATTTGTTGACATTCTTGTCATATTTACTGTAGACATGATGGCAAATAACAAGGAGTATACTGGACTTAAAGAACCACCTGATTTATGTTTCAGAATCAAAATGTCTTGAGGTGATCAATTAAGCCAGCCATAATTACTTCAGTGATGAAAGCCTAAAAATGTTTTTTTAATATTTTGAATAATAGATGTCATTTTTCTTTGGAGCTGTTTCTTATTTCCCCTTCTACATAATTAACTTTACTGACGTGCTTTGAGGCGGGATAATTCCAGGTGTACCAAAGCAAACGGGACACAAACCTCAGAGCGAAGTGACAAGGTACAGATCACATATCTTTACTGCCGTCTTCCTCCCTTCAAACCTTAATTAAAGTGAGCACTTGTGAGACGATGGGAGTGTGAACGCCATCTGGGAGATGATCTGGTAGCAGAAGCTCACCGTTTCATTTCACACACTCCCAGACTAACATGGAACCAATTTCCTTTATTTGCAATAAACAAGAGTTTCAGCAGCTAATAAGAAACTGATTAGGTTTCATGGGGATATATTTTTATGTAATTGAGAAGATTTTTGTCTCCCAACGTCATACCTGTGCACTAATAAAACATAACAGGGTTTTGGGTACGATTAAGGTTTCAGTGATGCTTTATGAGAGCCACTGTTTGTAATCTCACTGCTGCTTAGCTCTATGATTATACGCAGACTTAGTAGAATAAAGGGATTTTATATTATTAGAATAAAGGGTACATACAGCATTAAAAAATGTAAACATTATTTTTGAGAGTGTTGTACTCAACGAGGCTCTCTGGCTTCAGAGAAACATAAAGGTTTTTGTCTTCATCTGTGCAGAAATGAGGATTAAAGACAGAGAAAAATGAGAATATAGAGTTGATTTATTTCTGTAAATCGACTTAGCCTGACATCATCTAAAGGCTCAGGAGCCCTTTGCAGATGATTTGGCTTCATTAGTTGGTTAGAGTGCGACACTTTGAGTGTAGACTATTGAACCTTTCCACAATATTCTAACTGCCTGAGATGTTGAATGTGGGGTTTCAGCTGTAAACCATAATCATCACAGTTTAAACAAATAAAGGCTTGAAATATCTGGCTTTGCATGCTGTGAGTATATCTCATGTATTAGTTTCACCCTTAATGTCGAATTCCTGAAATAAATTAACTTTTGCACCTTATTCTCATTTTTGGAGTTTCACTGACAGGATTTAAACTTGGCACAAAAAGTAAACTAATTTAGGTTTGCTCATTTTGTTTTTAGTCACAAGAAAGCTTCCTGGTGATAAATCTGACATAGTTAAAAAGCCTGATTGGTCACTTTTACAATGACAGAGAGCTTGTAAGGATGCTTCATCTGTGGAATGAGCAATACAGCTAAACATGTGAGTAACCCCCTAAATGTGTCTAAATTTCTAGCAATATTTTCTTGTTCTTATATTTACTCGTGTTTTTACTCCTTTGGAGGCTTATGTGATTGCACTAAAAATAATAAACATAATCTTTACTCTTTTTTTCATTTTACACTTTCAAGAGCCTCGGGAGCATGTGAAAGATCATATGCAGCACACCAGCTTGGCTCCTCCTACTCTCACTGGCTGACAGTTTGGTCACATTTTGCTGTGGAATGGTGTCCCATGACTCAACCAGGAGTACCTGAAGGGTTAACTGGTGTGATGATACTGGTACTCTATAGCATGGCCAAGGTGTCAATCAAATACCAGTCATTCACCTGGCGGCACCTTAAAACAAGAGTTAATCCCAACAGTGAGTTGTTGTGAAAAGCGCTTAATAAAACTTTTATTATTATTATTATTATTATTATTATTATTATTATTAGGGTTCCCAATTTGATTTATTGCCAATAAGCATAAATTGGCAACAAAACACTATATTTTCTTAATTTATAATTAAACAAGTGAACCAAAATATTTTGCCAAACAATTTTCATGGTTCAGTCAGTCTGGTTCTTTCAGCTAAAACAATTTAATCACAAACATGAATGTTTTTGATGACACTGACAGTAGAGTTTCTCTGGGACTGCGTGACACTGACCTACCACTGGGCCTTGCTGAGCATTGTGCTAAATGTCCAGGTTAAACTACAAGCTCACAACATTGTTTTTTTGCATTTTTATACTTGAAATCTGTAGCAACAACCTCTATAATTACAGTTTTGTTTGTGATTTAATAAGACATACGATGATGGTGCTCAGATCAAATGTGGCTCCTCCGAATTAAAAGGGGTCACCAGAGATGGTTGGGGAATCTGATCAGGATGCATCGTGACGACCTTTCTCTGCTGGTTTTCCAGTCAGATCACCCTGAGGAGAGGCCCTGGTATGACCCAGAACTCATCGGAGTGATTACCTGTCCTGGGATTATCCTGGGATCACCCAGGAGAAGCTGCAGCATGTCCTTAGGAAGAGGGATGTCTGCGTTTCCCTCCTGGAACATACCTGTGTAACCTAACCTTCTGGTGGAAAAAGGGTGGAATGGATGAATAACGTGAGAGAATTGTAAATAAAAAGTTTGTAACGGCAGCTGTAGTTTACACTTAAGGCTGCCATTTAGGGTTCTCCAGCCGGGTTGTTACATTCCAACTTAAAGGGAGTATTCACATTGACCTTTTTGACTTGGAGCTCAGATATTTTGAGGAACAACGTCTAATTTTAAAAAGGACAGGCAGCACAAAGCAAACGTTTGTCACATTTATTGACAAAATGAAATTCATTTGAATAAAAACTTGATTTGCTGAAAGTTCAATAGTGAAATAGTTTCCTTTTTTCTATAGATGCTTCTGTTTTGACATTTAAAATGAATTTTTCAGTCTCAGCATTTTTTTTCTCCAAGAAGAAACAATTTCTCAGTTCTGAAAAATCCAAGGGGTAAAAACTGCTGACTGCTGGTTTCACTTCCCTGATGTCAGGATCAAAACAGCCCGAATGAGAGTTTTCAGGAGCGATTCGCTGTTGGACAGCTGGGTGTCAGAGCTGCGTGCAGACAGCTCCGTTTGTCCGCTGATGACTGACAGACAATAAGCTCCGTCCTCAATCAAAGCAGCTCCCCAGGTGCCACTTATCATCTCTGTTTGCCATCTCCTTTGTGCTGAGGCGAGGTTCCATTTAAGCAAATCCTACGCAGTCCTCTTTTAATGGGTAAACGCCTTACTTTACTGTAAAGGGCTGAGAATAAACAACCTGTTCGTTTGTCACATTTGAACAAAAAATGCAGAAACGTTCAGATGGATTTAACGATGATCTAAACTGTTATAATTAGCTGTTGCAAGGCTGAAAGGTCAAAGAAAATATCGACCCGGGTCTCATTCTGGGACTTGATCTGCTTGAAGCATTAAGATGCAAAAAGACAATTAGGTTAAATTACCATGAAGACTGGAGACTAATGTGGACAGGATGTGTCTAAAACATCACACTAACAAAAGTCTTGAGGCACATTTGCATCATTTTGGTTTAGGAGTTGGATGTTATTATTCAGTAATATTAGCAGTTCTATGTGAGCTGCACATGCTATAGCAGTGTGAAATGAGATGTTGGGGCTTTTGGTGGGCTGGAAATGGTTTGGCATGCTGGTCAGCAACAAGCTGAACTGGGAATCTGACACTTATAGGTTCAATCTACCGATGTTTGGCTTAGAAAGATTATAACTGAGCGAAAAGACCTGGATGTGCCGCCTTAAGACCTGAGTTCTCCTACGAAGGAGGTCTCCAGTATAAAGGTCAGTCTGAGCCACCATTTAAAAATTGGTTTCTCATGATGTACTAAATAAATCAGCACAACATAATTCACATGTATGGGACATATGATGATATCATGGGAATAAAAAGTGACCACAATACTGGTTTGAACACGTTTTAAGTACTAATATAAGTTGATTAAACTAAAATCACGAATTTTTACAGAAACTAACTATAAGTTTGATTTAACATTAGACGATATTGTATCTTTCCTCCCATGAACCAACTTTTAGCACAATTCTCTTTTGTTTTTTGGCACAACCCAAACTTCAGAATGTCTGCAATGGGAAGTGGCAATGACCAGTGCAGTGAAAGTACTGCATGATTTTAATAACATGTTTATATTTGTGTCTCATTATCTGTGTGAAGCTAAGACACCACGAGCGCAGATGTGCCCAAAGCGTGTCTCGGGGGTCATTTTCACTCCCAATGGAAATTCTGGAATAAAGAACTTTGTCTCTCCAGCAGGTTTTTGATGTAAGTAATATAATTCTTTCTAACACTTATACGCTCAGAGTTTTACTAATATGCTCATTTTGATCTATTGTGAGTACATACAGTCAAAAATCACCATAAAACAATTTCTTGCATTTTTTTTTAAGAAATTGTGGCCAACGGGACTATTAACTGGAAACTTTTTACACTCGTCTTTAAAAGTTTGAACACCCCATGCACTACCAGGATGAATCATAAGATTGCTTAAAATGATCTGAGCAAAAATTCACAATTATTTCACCTCTTCCTTCTGTTATTTGCCTTTTTGAGTTTCTGTTGTTGTTTTTTTTTTATTTAGGCAAAACAAATGTATTGGTATAGCAAGTTTCATACACAGAGGCAATTCAGTGTGCATTCCATTAGCAAGAATGGTGTGAACTTTAAAATAACATGGCAGCACAATGAAAATACACAAATTTATTTAGACCAAATTAAATACACAAATTTATTTCAGATTCATGAATCAGAAAATAAGAGAAAGTTAAAAGGTGATAGTTACAGTGCAGAAGGTGCAGCATAAGAAAAAGCATTCAACGGCTGATGAAAACATGAAAGTTTTCAATTTTGATTTAAAAGTAACACGAGTTGGGTCATATCTGAGTTCATGATGGAGCTGATTCCATCTGTGTGCAGCAGCTAAAAGCAGCATCACATTGTTTGGTTCTGACCCAGGTTTCTACCAGCTGACTGTTTCCTAAGGATCTCAGAGCTCTGCTGGGCGTATGTACAGGACGGAGATCTGACATGTATGATGGCCCCATGACAATGAGTGATTTATAAACTAGTAGAAATACTTTAAAATGGATTCTGTAGTTTACTGGTAACCAGTGTAGAGGTTTCAGAACAGGAGTGATGTGCTCGGTTCTCTTGGTTCTTGTTAAGACTCTAGCAGCAGCATTCTGAATAAGCTGCAGTTGCTTCACAGCTTTCTTGGGAAGACCAGCTAATAGACCACTGCAGTAGTCCCGCCTGCTGAAGATGAACACATGAATGAGTTTCTCTTGTCTGGACATGAGACCCCTCAGTCTTGCTACTTGATGGAGATGATTTAGCAACTATTGGAGATTTCCACCTGACTTTCCATCACATCTATCAAGATCTGTAGTCTTACAGCAGCTCACCACCTTAAGATCTTTTGTTTCCATTTCTAACTTTAGCACTATCACGTATGATGTAGTATACCTACACAATGTCAGAGGAGGAAGTTAAAGAGGGTGAAAACATACAGTCAGGACACCCATGCATGCTGCATATGTGGCTAATTTGCAGGTCTGCTGAAGGGAGCAGATAAGCAGGCACCTGGAAGCAAACTTGTTGAAGCAGAATCCCTGAAAAGTCTGGTGTGAAAATAGCTGAGAGATTAAATGTTTACTGACAGAATATTAAAAACCCTCGAGAGGGAATGTTCACAGGGATTGTTAAGTGTTTTGGGATATATCTTTCTTTGCTTTCTTACTGTTGTGTTGGTGGAATGTTACCATTTTGGTGTTATTGTTCAAAATCCTGACCTTAGCTGACTTCATTTAACTGGAACATGTCTAGCATTACCAGTTGAGACATGGTGGATGTTTCTGTAATTAACGTTGCTCTGTCAAGATGTTATTTATAGTCCCTAGTGTAGAGGGGTTTGATTCCTCTCAGACATTAAAATTAAAGGCTCTCCTTCCATTTCAAACTAATGACTGAAAACAACCCATTAGAAGCTAAATTCACCAAGCCACTCTAAATTAAACCTAGCTCCAACAATCGCCCCACCTAGTACACGAGCTGCTTGTACATAGAAAGATCAAACAGCATCAAACCTGTGAGCACTTGCTGTTGGGATTGTTTCCCACAAACATCTCATTTACACCATCCTCCAGCACGGGCGTGGGGTTTAAAAAGCCAGTGACCGCCTCTTTACATTTATTTCATTGGTAGATAAACTCAGCATGCTTCTGGCACGTTAACAATAAGATAAGAGGAGTGCAAATGGCCCTGATGAATGCATCACTTTAATCACCATGAATCAGGATGCAGATTTAATCGTGTCCTCTGCTTTTTACTCAGTCATTAAAGATGTTTCAGCTTGGCTGAGCAAATGCACCGTGGAGATGAAAAGAAATCATTTCTGCACAAGATTTAATTATTTTTAATTACTAAAAAAAACACATGAAAACTGCTAAAAGGGGGAAAAAGACAAAGGTTTCTGTAAATAAGATTCATTTTTATTGTCAGTTGAGACCAACTAAAAAAAAAATTCAACGTTAGTCTGTAAAGGCACCAAGTCCCAGTCTTAGTTCTGTCTCTTCACAACACACGCTGCAGCCTCTGGTCAGAAGGCTGTCTGAAGGAGCGAGCCGGCTGCAGCATCGATTTTCCCACAGAGTTCCTGAGCTGTTTAAAGAGCATCCAGAGAAGCATCATCATGAGCAAAAGCAGACCAAACAGCATCCCAACATACAGACTCAGGTTCCAACCCCAGCCCAGTGCCAGGGGCAGCGAGGTGGAGGTCACCAGAAATTTTTTGGGCGCAGGCATTGGCTTCAGGCAGCAAACCTGCCCTCTCCACCTTCAGGAACTGAGCTTTATCCACACTTGGATCTTCTCTTGGGTTGTTCCTGGTGTGCAGTAGGAACCATTATTCAAGCAAGTATCCAACTGATTAGGATGTGTTAAAGAAATCCATCATTCTGTTCCAGTTTGAAAAATGTGCAGGACAGCAAACCTGTTGAGGAGGTGCACAGCCGTTGAGTCTTACATGATAAAAATCCTCTGCGCAGCTGGGCTCTGCTTTCTCTCCGTTAGATGCCTCGCTCAAAGCCAGCCCACTATTTATCATAAAAGAGCAAGTGAGACACCTTCAATGCCATTGGCTGCCTTCAGCTCACTCTCTGTGAAAATTTGAGTCAATAAAAAAATAGGGGGGGGGGGGTGATTGTGTTGTATACTAAATTTTCAATGTTTACAGTAAAAGAAACATCTTTCAACCGCCCAGGAATGAGGACACAATCCACTTGCAAACATTCATCCATGGAGTTTTATTGTTCCCCAAACATTTACAGCCTCATGTTAACAGGTGATATGAAATCCTGATTTAAGAAATCACACTGAACACACCCTTTAGAAGGACTGAGGTGGAGATGTTTGACAGACCTGTCCTCATCCGTCCATGGCTGAAAACATGGCCTCTGCTGCCCCCATGAGTCCAACGTGATACAGATGTGGCATTCCTCATTTTAAACGGATTTTATTTACAAGAGCTATATTTTACAGTGCAGAAAATGCCTCTTCCAAGGCATCCATGCAATCAGATGAATGGATTAACACTTTTAAATCTGCATCCCAACAGGTCAAACTGGGTCCACCTCCAGGAAGAAAAAGTGGTAAATTGGCAAAAGCTGTTTTTAAAAGACTCAGCCCCAGAAAAGTGTAAAAAAAATGCCACAACCCAGGTTCTGGTTAAACCACAGGCCTTAAAAAGTTTGATGCAGTTGATAAAAGCAGCCCTTTTTGTGTTAAGAGTGGTAAAAGGTTTGTCTTGTTAAAAACTGCCTCATTATACAAAATCTGTTTTGTCGAACACTGGGATTCAGAATATAAAAAAATATATAGAAAACCTCCAAATCTAACATCACTCCAGAATGTGCAGAACATATTAAACTCAGAAGCTTAAAAAAAAATCTTAAAAAAAAAAAAAACTTTTTTTTTTTTAAGTTTAAGACAGACAAAGGGTACGCATGCCAACAAGCAAAAGCTAGTTGAGCTGCAGTTTAGCTGGCGAGCTGATGCAGGAAACCTCATGGTACCTGTGAAGGAAAAAAAAGACCATAGATAAGTGATGTCCAACTTCACACAACAGAAACAATGTAGGTGAATCAGAAGCTAACTTTGAGCCCTTGTACTTCTCCCGGACAGACTGCTGGGCGTGCTGGGTGGCACCGACGTACAGTCTGTGGAGATCCTCTACACACGGCATCAGATCCTCCAGACTGTAATCGGTCATCTCCACCAATGGCTTAGGCTGAGGGGAGAAGAAAGTCATTTCAACATCAACATCTGCAAAACAGTATGGAATAATTAAATCTACTGCAAGAATCAGCAGTAAGAGATCCACACAGGGACTGTGTAGTCTACAGTCTAACAGTAGTTTTACCCAGGATCCTCCAGTAAGCGTATTGTTAGCCAGGACGTAGGCTGCAGCGGCCGTCTGGGATGGCAGGTATTTCAAGAACGGATCCGAATCAACCAGGCTGAGCTCCCCAAGGTACTAGAAAGAAAAGTTCCTCCGTTAAACATGCCATAACGATGATTTGCTTATAAAACTAGTCTGCTCAAGTGTGGATTAGGTGCACCACGTGACTGGCTCTTACCATTGCCAAACTTTCCACCTGTTTACCAGTAGAATGGTGACAGAAGTACTGAGTGAGAAACTGGTTTATTGTGGGAGCAGCCAGATCAAAGGAGAGCACCTTCAGCACCAAGTGCTCCATTTTTAGCACTTGCTTTTTTGTGTACGTGTCATCTGTGATGTAGACAAACTCTGACACTTCAGGAGGGTAGATCTCTTCAAATTTCCTGCAGGGAAATATAAAAATGTATATAACGTGGTAAACTTTACAGTCCAAACACAGCTACCACATAGACCACGTACGAAGCCAAGAGCATGGCGGCGGTTCCCACAAGCTGAAGTTTGCCCCGTAGAACAGACATGGAGGACAGGAAGCGATCGATGTAGTTGATGGCCAGATAGAGCGTCTCGTTCTGGAGTTTATACTCCTCTCCAACCTCCACCAGCCAGTCCACCAGGATGGCCCTCATGCTGTTTGTGATGTCGGGTTGCTTCTTCATGTAGCCCGCTTTAGGTCGGGTTTTAGTCTACAGAGAGAAGATTAAACTGATTTGTATCTAAAAAAAAAAAAAAAAAAAAAAAAAAAAAACATCTAGATAATAGATTAATGCACTCACCTCTCGCTCTCTCAAGTATGTGTGGATCTCTGGAGCGTATTCTGGAACCTCATTTACAGCCACAGGTTTTTGATCCCCTTCTATCACAGACATGTCCATGGGAGAATCTGGAGAGAAAACAGTCTATATTTAGTACAATAAAGCTGACTAACATGTCAAAGTTAACACTTTATTGCGTAATAATGAACTATTGGAGGGAAAGTCAATTTTTTTTCTTCCCCGGAACTGCGCTGCTCTGGGTGGCTGCATGTTGGAGTAGCTGTTGACTATATGTAAGTTTAGCCTTTTCTTGGGCATTTTTTCTTCTAGTTTCTCAAGAAAAACTATTTTTTGGACACTTTTCTGTTTCTGGTGCTGTGAAGCTTGGAGGATTTTTACTGCTACTTTTAGCTTTTTTCACTTTGAGCATGTTGTGATGCGTAACCATGGCAACCGTCTGGTTTACAATCGGGAGCAACTGATTAACATTGGAAAGACTGAAATAATACCTCAACTGAAGCCACAAATCCCAAATGAGCTAAAACGCAAGAAGCGTGGGTGCAGAGCGGGACGGAGACAGAGAAAGAGGAAATTCAAACCATCTCTTCCATCGATCATAATGGGCAATGTGGATGGAGGAACTCCAAGCCTTTTCAAGGACTCAGCCAGAGTTTCGGCAGTTTCGGAACCGCTGGAGGAGATAATGCAAAGAAGGATTCTCCAGAGAATCAAGAAAATGATGGACAACCCTGAGCATTCTCTTCACAAGACTGCCCGACAATGGAAGAGTGTCTTCAGTCAGAGGCTTCTTCAGTTTTGCTGCAACACTGACAGCTACTGGAGATCCTTCCTGCCAACAGCCATTGTGATATACAATAACTCTTTGATGACTTGATTAATATTATTAATATTATATATTATTATTATTATTCTGAGTTATTTTTATGTATAATTTTAGAGGGAAGTGGAATTTAAAAGTACAAAGAGTAAGGACAACATTGAAAAGGATGTCTATTTCAATAGCGGGCGTTAAATTCTGGAATGAGTTAACAGAAGAAATAAAGGATAGTAGTAATGTAAACCAGTTTAAAATAAAACTCAAAAAAGAAATGTTAAATAAGTATAAGAATGAAGAAAATGCAATTAACCCAGGACGGCATGCAAACTGATGTTTAATCTATTCTACAAATTAGAAAATCTAAATGTAGTTCTAGTTGAACATGATAATTTTATTTATTTATTATTATTGTTATTTTTTTTTTGAAGGCATTGTAACTGTTTTGTTGTTTAAATTTTGATGAGGATGTAAACCTGAGGGGTAGGGCTAAATAAGTATACACTTCTCCCTACTCCTTTTCAAACAATTGCGTGGAATGATTTTATGAAATGTTGGTGAATGTATATGTTTGAAATAAAGTGAACTGAACTGAACTACTACAGCAATCAATTTCCCTCTGGGATTAATAAAGTATTTTTGAATTGAATTGAATATTAACCCACCAAAGCTGACATCCATGGCTAACGGAACCGGAACCTCGATCACTGCCAGGGGCTGTCGGAGTCGTGCCACAGCATGACTGACAACCAGAGGAGATTCCTCCACTGTGGGCTTCGCTTTGTTTGTTTCAGCCACATGCTTTTTGTCACAGGCTACGTCAGGCTCATCCACATGGATCTGGAAAGCTGGCTGCTTAACAGGTCTTTCAACAAGGATTTTGTTAAAATCTTCATTTTTGCAAGCCAAGGGCTGTGATGTTTCCTGGAACAAAAAAAAAAAAAAAAATCTGTAATGTACAGACATCTGCCAAAACTTGATTTGTGAATTAGAAACTTCTGTGGAAAATGTGATTCAAATATAGCAAATTTCTTTGCATTTCTGTTAATGTGAGGCTCAGTGGAAGCAATATATTATAAAGTATTATTAACTATTAATACTACATTAAAAAGGTAATAAATTAGTATTTCAAAAACTTCTCTTCTCAGACCAGCTGGTGATTAATTAGTTTAACTCTACAATAGCAAAATGTATTAGGAAGGACCCAAAATGTATGCCCTTTATTAGAACACGAAAAACATGCAGGTGTGTAAAAAAATAAATAAAAGAAGTCTACAGATTATGCTAAATTAATTTTACCTCTGTGTTAAGTCTCGGTTACAGGATACTTGTAAATGCAAAGAAAATCTTGTGTAAATTGACTTAAATACAGTAAATGAAGACGGGAGGTTCTCCAGAAGCACATTTGTGTTTAGAACAAAGCAACTCAAGGGCTATAAGGTTATTAAAATGGCGGAAAGCAGGGGAAACTTAACAGAGCAACATAACATGTCATTTTACTTCATTTTTAAAAAGGCGCTTAAAGCAGCTAATTAACGTACTTGCATCCAAATGTAACCATTTTAGTTGCCTTCAGAGCCTGCCTAGGTGTTAGCTTAGGCCAAGGTTGCTAGCCTGTTACCTGTTTAGCGCCTCGCTGGTTCTGGGCTTTGCTCCGATGGTTGTTCTGCAGGGCTCCCAGCACGGTTCTGTTGGCGGCTTGTTTGGGAGGCTGGTTTTCTTGGTTTTCACCAGCTCGGTGTTTAAGCGACCCTCTGAGCCTTGAAAGCATGTTTTCATGGTTGGGGAGCTCACTAGCCGCATTTCCTTGCCTGTTAGCTCCTGACATGTTTCCACCCTCCAAGAGAGAATCCACTTCTCCGCACTTTTTTTAACAAAAAAACAAATAAATAAAAAAGCAGTGGTCAACCGTAGTGTGCTTCCTCACAGAGCGAAAAAAAGAGGAAAGCTTACAAATCAAAAGGCTAAAAAAGATGGCGTGTGAGCAGTTATGTCGAAGCGAGCTTTAGCTGTTGCACAGCAGACTGAATCGTGAATCAGAACTAAACTGTTGAGATGGCAACAGCACTTGGAACTGCAGCGCTAGAACAAAGCAAATAAAAACAAACGTGCACCTTTGACATCGGGTTGGCAAAACTAAGGAAAAACTAAGTTGCCATTCTATTTATAAGTTTTGTATCCGGTACAAACCTGCACAATGACAGCAGCTATTGTCGATGCATTTTCATGCAAACACTTAGAGAGTTCAAGTAGCCCGCGATGATTGAAACCGACCAATCACAGACCGCGAAGGAACTGACGTATTACAAGTGTAGGAGGCGAGGAGGGACAAAAAACTTTAATTGCAAATTTAAAACCGGTTTGAAAAAAAGATCCCAAATACAAAGTTAAACGCGAGTAACAACAACGTTAACGCATTTGGAATAAAAATCTTTGCTGCAACAATTATGTATATTTATATCATTAGAAGCACTTCAACATACTTAGACGTCTTCCTAACCTAGGGCTCGTGCTTGAGGTCATTTCTAGGTCCACCAGTATACTTGTTTACTGAAAGACTTGCACATATGTTTAGTTTAAGAAATTACTCATAAGACTATAATTTAAAATGTTTAAATACTATTGTATTTTTATGTTTGGCTTTATTTTTCATGTGTCCTATTCTTACATTAGGTTGAATGACCACTTATGCTGATTAGATAAATTTGTGTATAAAACTTAAATCCACATGGAAGTACCTAACCCAGTATACAGCAACAACTTGTTTCTTGACGAATCTGTTGTAGCATGAGGTACATTACATTAAGATGTAAATAATATGGAATAAAATTGAAAACAATTGGTGTGTTAGCTATTTTTTACTGACAAGTTACTGCACAAGGACTGGTTTAATACAGAAAGATTAGATATTAAATTGAGTAGCATTTGACACACATACTATAACTGTAACAAATTCCATCAAATTCTTGCATGAAAATAAGAGTATTGCAGTATTCTCCTAACCATTTGCAGTACGCCTTAATACATCAAAAGTAATTTATTACTCAACTCTTAAGGGAGAGTAAATTATTTCTAAATAAAATTTAACAAAATAACACAGTCTCAAAGATGAACTATCGTCATGTAAAGATTGCAACACAACAACCGTCACAGAGATAGATCATCTTTGGCCATTATGGCATCATGGCTCATTGAAAAAGTCTAAGAGTGACTTTAATTCGTAATTATCAAGTATCTCCAACAACGAGGACACTTTTGTTTTCACATTTTGGCCCTTGAATTTGAATTTGTCGATGAAGAGGTCAGTGATCATTCCTGCAGGAAAACAGAAATACACACAAAACTTTATAAAGTGAAAATCAAAAAGCAACAATAACAAAAATTAATCAACAGTGAAAGTTAGTTCTTTTTACTCCAGCTTTACCGTAAAGCCTTTCAAGGTGGGCTGGCTGCTTCTTGTACTCCTCCAGAAGGTTAGCAGACTCATCCAAAATGCTGCGGTACTCTGGGATGAGGAAATCTGCATTTCCTTCATGAACTTGAAGTTCCTAGGAAACATAGATTCAACTATAATGAACTGAATCATAAATAAACAGCAACAAAACACATTTAACCAAAACTTACTTTGAGAGCATCGACAAGTTGAACTTTTCTAGCCAGCACCAACTGATACTCCAGCTTTGGGTGGATCATCCTGAGGGTGTGGCTCACGGAGTCGTCATTAATATCTGGTAGATCAATAAACATGTTGTTCTATGTCGCTGAATGATGGCAAAAGACGTCTCAGCTTATCCGGAAACAGAAGAAAAATAAACATACCGTATGAAATGTTTAGATTGATTTTCTTCTTGGTAGCTTCTTTGGAAAGAACATCAGTCAGTATAGAGATAGTAGAAATATTGTCGGACTTGAAGTGGCCCTCCCCTTTGCTGAAATGAGACATTCAGACTCGTTCGCAACTGAAGTACTATTTCAGATGGAGTGCAGTATTATTTTACTTTGTGCATGCATTTACCTGTAGGTGGCTTCCAGCTGTGTGCCAAGGAATGTGTTATAGAAGTAGAAAGTAATGCTCTCGCCTGCCGGAGTTTTCTCAGGCACCTCTGGCAAACAGAAAACCACCCAGGAATGAATCTCTGCAAAACTGAACTGTCCCACCAAATTGAGCTGATTCATGGGTCTGAAAGAAAACAAATGAGAGATCACATTACTGAGTTAACTCTAATTATAATGAGAAATCTCTAAGATTACGGAAACAAACAAACACATACAGAAGGAAATAATACAATTTCTCAAAAGCCAAATGTAGTGTAGTGTAGTCTTGTTGAAGGCTATACAGCAATTCTCTTAATAAATACGGCTAAATGCATAATTCTTGATATCGAGTTTATTAATAAGTTTTGGCAATCTTATGCCTCAAGATAATTCCATGCTGTCATTTGATACATTTTTAGTAATGACTGCTCTAATCAGAAAATCTGAATAACTGAAATCCATGTATATACCGTATATATAGACTAAAATCATTACCTGTCTGGGTCTATACTGTGCGTCCGCTGGTGAAGGGACAGTGGTTTGATCTGATACTGCCGAACCTGACAGGTTTTTGGTTGCAGTCTGGGGGTAACATAAGCCTGCAGGGTCCCATACTGTCCCTCAATGGATCTCACCTATAAAAATGTTTCAGTTTGGGATTAAACATTTTATTCTGTGTTCAATTATTTATAAAACAGGTTTAAAAAGTAGATTAGGTAACAATTTTTAATAGAACATCTGTATAACACTGCATTAAAGCTTTTCTTTGAACAAGTATGGTAAGTGATTAAGTAAAAAGTAAAAGCAACCAGAATCAGAGAAAACTGGACCTAATGTGATAATATAGATTTATAAACAAAAGTAAACACTAAAGGCATGTCTGCATGGCTTCACTGCAAACCAGAGAGTGACAAGAGTCCAATGTTCTGCTTACCTTAAGCTCCATCCTTGTAGTGTTGGCCTGACATCTGTATGTGGCCAGGAGGAAGTTCCCATTAGGCTGCTGAAATAACAACAAGCATCAGACGGTTTGGAGCGGAGGCAGGATGGTTTTATGTAAAGAAAGTATTCATACAGCTCACCTCTGAGTCACATTCACTAAAACTGACGACAGCAGAGTTCTTATCAACGTCCAGCAGATCTATGGGGACGTCACTCTGTGTAAAAAATCCAAATTTAAAATGACACTTAAGACGTTTCATTCTGAAACACAGGATCAAAAGCAAGCATTTTTAAAATAGTTTTTCATTCAGAGGGGCTTATATGCTGCGTATACCTGGAGCAGCAGGTTGTCGATGGCTGTCTGCACCTCCAGCGTCAGACTGTAGCTGGCGTCGTCCTGGCTGAGGGTGAACTTGTCGTTGATGCTGAAGACAGGCACAGCAGAGACAGCTGTGTTGGACTGAGAGATCTGTTGGTATTGCTCTCGTCCCTGTAACACTTTAACCTGCAGCTGTTCCAGCTCCGCTCTAAAAGGGTTCGAACAGATTTGTCTTTAAATTCTCCTTTAACCAAATCACAGATAGTCAAACGAGAAGCTCTGATACCTGAGTGTTTCTATTTTAGACTGGGTCTCTTTGCTCATCCTGACCTCGTCTCCTGGACCAGCTTCTGTCTTCTGGGGCTCAGTGGTCAAACCAGTCACCCATCCTGGAAATGGTCAAATAATGAAACTTTACTTTTTTATGTCACCTCTCCTGAATAGTTAAACAGGACATTCTCATTACTGAATCCATTAAAGGGAGACTAGGATTGCTTTTGGCACCCCTGGTGTCCATTTAGTAGAACTGAAAGTAAAACCTACCTCCTCGCTGTGTGTTCACCTTTTTATCATCTTAGTCTAACAGCTGAAATGTCTCCCCAGCCTTCCTTAGTGTCTACAGGAGTGGTTCATCACTAAATTAAACAAATCAGCTGTGTTCATGATCTAAAACATGCAGGAAAAGTCCTGGAACCAGACTGCAGTGCCAGGTATGTCAGCTCAACTTTTCCCAACAGACCAAACCGGAACTCTGAAGCTAAATATTCTGTCTACAGGGGACAATAAGGGCTGGGGTGGTCTTTCATTAACCCTGTAAAGCGTCATTTTTGCACATACTAGACTTTGCGTAGTGTCTTTTTAAGTCTTTCCTCTAACCTGTATATGTGGAGGTCAGGAGCTCATCATAAGACTCTTTCCCCACACAGCCACCCTGGATGGAGGTCACACTCTCTGACAAAACCTGTAACAAACATCAGCCGGTCACTTTCAGCTTATGCAGACAGTTGAAATTGTGCAAAGTATCTTTAATCAACTGATTTCACACCAGTTATGGTTGAAAATATTTGATTGTTCGTCGTGTTTGCCTGATCTTAAGCTGAATATTTGCGTGCATGCATAACAACATTTTATGAGAGGACTTTTTTTCCAACAAGAGAAAACTTAACAAGAGTAAATAAACTATAGTGCTTCTTTCAGTTTTGGTTGTCTATACACTCACATGTTCAAATCGTAACGTGGATTCACCAGAATTGTCAAATCCAAAGACCTCAACTGTCCCATCGTCCCTGCCCACAAGGATGTCATTCACTCCATCTCCAATAATGTCATAAGTGTCAATGCAAAGAACTCCTGATGAAAGACAAAATAAGAGAGAGGTATTGTTTTTTGAGACAATAATCAAAGGCAAGCATGCAGAAACATTGGTCCAGCTTAGATGAAACAGGATTTATACAGTACATGTCCTTGGCTGAGTTGGAACATGCCTTCAAAATGGTTTAAACAAATCAGGTGACTGGCTAACTGGCTGTTCCAATGATACTAGCAGCTAAGATGTCAAAGGCTTTATGCCTCTGGTAGGATCGCCCATGGCAAACAGGCCCTAGGTGAGGGATCAGACAAAGAGCAGTCCACAGACCCCTTATGACGACAAATATCAATGGAAACAGTGTTCCCTCGCCCGGACGCAGGTCACCGGGGCCCCCCTCTGGAGCCAGGCCGGAAGGTGGGGCAAGTCGGCAAGTGCCGAGAAAACATGTCAAGGGCTCACCACTTGTGGGAGGGGCCAAAGGGGTTGGGTGAAATGTGTGGCAAGTGGTAGCTGAAGGCAGGGACCTTGGCGGTCTCATCCTCAGCTAGAGAAGCTGGCTCTTTGTACGTGGATTGTCACCTCTCTGGTGGGGAAGCCTGAGTTGGTGTGCGAAGGTTAGAGTTTTCGACTAGATATAGTTCAAGAAACTCCTGAAGACCCTGCTCTTCAGAGAGCATCTTCTTAACTAGCACCCTCCCTGCACCCGTCCCCCCCTCTACTGTCCACTCCTTGTTCCCTACTCTCCATGACTGATGTCAAGTTGTTGTTGTTATTGTTGTTGTTAGCCTCAAGGGCAATATGCCGATGATCACTTGTAAGTAGCTTTGGACAAAAGCGTCTGCTAAATACATAAACATAAACATTTAGTTCCAACTACAGGGGAATCACAACCCTAAGCTTCCCTGGCAAAGTCTATTCAGGGGTTCTGGAGAGGAGGGTCCGGCGGATTGTCGAACCTCAGATTCAGGAGGAGCAATGTGGTTTTCATCCTGGCGGTGGAACACTGGACCAGCTCTATACCCTTTTGGGGGGGGGGGGGGGGGGGGGGGGGTATCCTGGAGGGTGCGTGGCAGTTCACCCAACCAATCTACATGTGTTTTGTAGCTTTGGAGAAGGTGTTCGACCGCGTCCCTCGGGAGGCCCTGTGGGGGGTACTCTGGGAGTATGGGGTACCAGGCCCTCTGATATGGGCTGTTAGGTCCCTGTATGACCGGTGTCAGAGCTTGGTCCGCATTGGACCGGCAGTAAGTCAGGCTCGTTTCCCGTGAGAGTTGTATTCTGCCAAGGCTGCACTTTATCACCGATTCTGTTCATAACCTTTATTAACAGGATATCTAGGCACAGCCAAGGTGTTGAAGGGATCCGTTTTGGTGGCCTGAGGATTGCATCTCTGCTTTTTGTAGATGATGTGGTCCTGTTGGCGTGATCAGAACATTATCTTTGGATCTCACTGGAGAGGTTCACAGCCAAGTGTGAAGCAGATGGGATGAGAATCAGCTCCTCTAAATCTGAAACCATGGTCTTGAGTCAGAAAAGGGTACAATTCCTTTTCCAGATCAGGGATGAGATCCTGCCCCAAATGGAGGAGTTTAAGTATCTTGGGTCTTGATCACGAGTGAGGGAACGATGGAGCACGAGACTGACAGACGGATTTGTGCTGCGTCTGCAGTTGTACTGATCTAACGTGATGAAAAGATAGCTGAGCTGGAAGGCAAAGCTTTTGATTTAACGGTCAATCTACGTTCCTACCCTCACCTATGGTCACGAGCTTTGGGTAGTGACCGAAAGAACAAGATTGCGGATACAAGCGGCCGAAATTATTTTTCTCCGCAGGGTGTCTGGGGTCTCCCTTAAAGAGGATGAGAAGCTCTGTCATCCGGGAGGGGCTCAGAGTAGACCCACTGCTCCTCCACGTTGAGAGGAGCCAGTTGAGATGACTCGGACATCTATTTAGGATGCTTCCTGGACACCTCCCTGGTGAGGTTTTCCGGGCACGTCCAACTGGGAGAAGACCTGAAAGAAGACCCGCTAGAGGGATAATGTATCTCGGCTGGCCAGGGAACGCCTTAGGATTCCCACGGAGGAGCAGGCTCAAGTGGCTGGGGAGAGGAAAGTTTGGGCCTCCTTGCTTAGGCTACTGCTCCCGCGACCTGACCCCAGATAAGCAGCCGAAAATGTTTGTTTATTTATTGCACTGGAAATATGTCATAAACATAAACATAAACAGAAAATGGATGGATGGGTTAGTGGCTAAAATATACAACCATAAAAAAGCTGCACCTCCTTTCCTTTTGTTATTGTCAATCTCCCATTTGATCCCAGCTGAGTGGTCACCAATTTGAACCAGTCCAATTTTCCCATCTGTGGTTCCATAAAGGATTTCATCACCTAAAGGGGAAGAAAAATATGTATATTTAATTTCTTCAAAACTAAACAGTTTAAAGTTTATCTTTAGAGTGCACAAACCGACTTGCCTCCATCTTTGTTGTAGAGTTCCAGTACAGATGGCGGGCCAGGAATTTCAATGTCATAAGCAAGCTCAGATCCCTATGACCAGTTTTAAATAGATCACTGTCATATCTGGGTGTTTGAAGATGAACAGTTGAACAAAGTTCAAACAAAAAATGTGATTTCAATTTACCTGCAAAACTCTGAGAATTCGATCCTGGCATGCCAAGACTGGGGTGAGACGCAAGAGTTTTTCTGAGGACAAACATATGATATCATTTATTTTGTCTCCAGAGAGAAAGTAGTCTTGATCCTTGCAGTCACAGTAGTGGTTGTAGATGTAACTTGCACATACAAACAGATCAGCTCCTGAGACATGCCTGAAAACAACATTACAGCATCACTCAGTGGAGGTCACACGGTGCAAAACAATGCAATCAAACAAACTGATAAGAAATTATTCCTACATGGCATTAATGTTCTCAGTGAGGTTGGCCTCAAAGGTGAGGAATTGTTTGCCTTTCTTGGTGAATCCTCGAACCTGAGAACCAGAGCAGACAAAGATCTTTTCCTGGGGGGTTCCTATGGCACCTCCAAGGTCCATCCTGGCTATTTTGGGGCCCGGAAGCGTTTTAAACACAGACTGAAACACAGAGTCAGATGTTACTATAGCAGAAATCTTTCTTTTGACTTTAACACCAGCTATGCAATGACTTCTAAACTCACCACAGCCTCCCCCTTCTTCATGCCAAAACATGTAAGTACACCATCGTGATCGGCTATAGCAACCTGAAACACAATAAACACCCACATATTAAACCTATTTACACATGGATTTTAACAACATTTCACACATAGACAATAAATAGAAGATCTGAGTTTAGAATATGTTTAATACCCGTTGCTTAAACACCACCCTCACACTATTCCGAATGTCCTGAATTGTAAACAGTACCTTCTGAGTTGCTTTTTTCCCCACCGCTGGAAGTAACCTCATGGTTTTCTGTGATGTTACACCAACCTAATCACAGAGCAGGATTAAACACCGATCATTAAAAATTAAGAGATCATAACCAAACCAACTTCGATAGTAAATGCATCTAATGAAAACACCACCTTCTAAAAAGGTATCGCAGACCTCAGCAGCTCCTGCTTCCTACCTGAGTATAATCAACTCTGTTGAGTTGGAGCTCCATCTTCTTTCTTTAAGGATTTATTTAGTACAAGAAAAATACTCCAGGTGAGCGTTCTGGCCTCAGAATGATACTATGCCCTTTTACAACTCGATACAGATAAAAGAAAATCAAGCGGAATTCTGGAACAATGGTGCCATTTGAGAATGGGATTATTTTCAGCAAGAAGATTAGCTCGACGTGCTAACGTTGGCTAACACGATTAATCCGCCGGTCAGCTGTCTGTCCTCTTCGCCATCTTTAACAAGGTCCAAGTATTGATATCACACAGACCAGAAACTGGTCTAAAGTTCGAATTCTGTTGAAAGCTAAAATTAAGCCTACTGTACACACGCCTTGCAGCAGAATGCAGTCACCATGGCAACAGTACATCCTGTAACACGATGCGATTCTATTGGATGAGAGCGAACCAGCAGAGTTTTAAGCTGCAAATTGATTGGTTGGCTTCCTCGCGGTTTAAAAGCAGATTCATGGTTTTAACCACTGATCTTCGATACCTTAGATACGTCAGCAAGATAAATACTTTTTGTATATAGTATACCCAGTCATAACGCTAATAAGATATCTTAAGATAAACTAATGTAAAAATTGGGGGTTCAATGCTCAAAACGGAGGGTCCCTCGGCCATAAATCAATTTTCCTCACATACACACACGTTCTTATCCATACATTCCTCTCTCTCTCACACACACACGCGCGCGCGCGCGCACACACACACACACACATACTCACACATTATATGATATTCAACATACATGAAATTCTGAGCCATTGAGTCGACCTATTATTTTCTGGAAACTATAATATTGTCATTGGTATAATTGTCTATCATCTCTGCTGTTATTACAGAAATACTCATACAACATGTTCTTATTGGAAGTTATATTACTGTAGATGTATGTAATCCTGAGATGTAGATTAAAAATGTACATGGCTTATTTAAAGTAGATTTGTAGTGTGTGGCAAGGGGGTGGGATTGAATACTCCCTTTGGGCTAAGACTTTTAAAAAAATTGGTATATCTTTTCATTTTTTTACTATGTTCATTGATTTGAAATTTATTGTCTTACGTTCAAATAAACGTTTCAATCATTTAATCAATCACACACACATTGGTATATCTATACTTGTGAGGACCCTTCATTGACTTCCATTCATTTTTGTTACTGCTACGGTTAACCCATACTCCAACCCTAACCAATGTTGCTGTATTCCAATAACTTTATGGCTAATCCATGTGTGAAACTGACGTCTTGAAGAATCTTGGCACTGTCATCTTGGAATATACCCATGCCATCAGGGAAGATGGAATAACCTGGTCATTCAGTATATTCAGGTGACTGTTTTTTGGCGGGGCAGTATAAAAAATTCAATTCAGTTCAGTTTATTTATATAGCGCCAAATCACAAGAGTCGTCTCAAGGTACCACACAAAGTAAACAATCCAATAAAGGTCAGTTCATTAAGCCAATCAGTAAAGTTCCCTATATAAGGAACCCAGCTAATTGCATCAAGTCACTGACTGGTGTCAGTATCTTTACAGCAATCCTCATACTAAGCAAGCATTTAGCGACTGTGGAGAGGAAAACTCCCTTTTAACAGGAAGAAACCTCCAGAGGATCCTGGCTCAGTATAAGCAGCCATCCACCACGACTCACTGGGGATCGAGAAGACAGAGCACGCACGCACACTCACACGCACACGCACACACACACACACACACACACACAGGTATATGGCATTCAGTTTGTGTGTGTCAAGAATGCATCTGTGTGAGAATGTGCAACAGAATAAATGGCCTTGACAGCCCCTCATAAAAACTCACTGGTTGTTAGCAGAAATCTTAAATACAAATGTATACATGCATTAGTCTATGTTACTTTTTTATACGACCACCATGTACCTCTTCTTAAAAAGTGCAATCTTCTATACATTTGCCACAGTTCCATTTTTTCCCATGTCTATATTCTAGCCTGTTTTTATTTTATTGTAATTTTGTTCTGCAATGCATCTGCACAGATTGAATGACTAATCTGAATCTGAATTGTAGCTTATTAAAGCTACACTTGTTGATTCTGAGGCAACAGTCAACCACTAAAGTGACAAGTAATCAATTTTACTACTTTATTAAGAGAGAACTTGATCTTTGTCATAAAAATGTGGTCTTAAGCAGAAAGGGTGGGAGGAAAATGTGTTGAACACTAAACACATGAAAAAAGTTAAATATAATTTGCTTTAAAACAGAGAAACTATATTTAATACATTCAAAGGGAATGGCATGCTTTAGGTCAGTGATCCCAGACTCCCTTCCCCAAGGGCCGGTATACAGAATGTTTTAGTTGTTTCCCTAATCCAATGTACTTGAATCACCTGCTCAGCAGCTCATCAAGCTCTGCAGAAGCCTGTTATTCACCTGCTGATTGAAATCAGGTGTGTTGAAGCAGAGAAACATTAAAGCATGCTGGATACAGACCCTCATGGGAAGAGAGTTGAGGACCCCGACTTTAGGTAAATCGTTTCAAAGAGCAAAACGTCTTGTACCTTTAAATATTCTATCAAATACAGCAGATATTTTCTCAGCTTAACATCCGTTTTGACATCATAGCTCTGTGTGTGTGCTGTTTAAAGAGCTAGCTATTAGCATAAAACTAAAACATTGAAAGTGAGGCATTCTGACAAATCATAAGATGCTGCAAACAAAAATGATAAAACAACAATTTTTGTGTACATAATTTAGTTTTCATTAAGTTAATAATCTCATGTTATTGTTCTATCACAGAATAAACATGTTAATGAATAAATAAAGGCATTTAGGAAATGACAAATGGCCAACAGAACATAGATGATGTCTGCAGGACTTTGTTTAGTGAAAATAACAAATTAAAAGGTGACCACTGTTTGAGGGGGGTCACAATAAGAAAACAAAACAATATTACTCTCAGACTTCAGTGCTTTACCAGATTCTCTTCAGTTGTATTCAAAATACCCAGAAAACATGACTCAATGCTGACATCCATAAAAAGGTTCCTTCCATCGGTGGCAATGTCTGTCCCCATCATAGTTAAGTCTCATCTTTATTGGCTTAAAAATAAAAATGTAAAGAAACCAGTAACTGTCTACATGGAGGAATCAGACCCCTGTGGGGGCGAGGCGGCTGATGAAGGCGATGCTGCTGAGGCACATTCTCCTCAGGAAAGCAGGGCAGGCGGGCTTCATGATGAAGTGTTCCAGAAGAATCCGTAGCTCGTAGAACAAGGTGCTGCAGTAAGACAGCGTGTTAAATCTTTATCTTAATGTTCACAAATATAAATATGGCTATCGTGATTACAGTGAAATAAAGTGGGGCAAAAAGGACAAGTTGTCCCACTTAAAATCAGACAGGTGAGGACCTACAGGAAACGTTTGACCTCTGTCAGTGCTAACTAAGGTTACATTATTATTGAGATGAACTTTTATTACTGACTAAGGCCTAGTCCACACGTAGCTGTTTTTTTTTTAAAAACGAATACCCACCCCTCCAAAAACTTGCATCCACACCACCTCGTTTAAAAAAAAAATGTCCACACGTACCCGGATAAATACGTTGTTAAGGACATGCCAGACCTGTAGGCGGCAGTACTTCCCCCGTTCTTAACCTCGTCCTTTGTCTGTGGTCTTCCGCAAGGAGCAGTAATTCCGCTTGCAAAAACAAACAAGCAAAAAGCGCTTGCACAATTGATAAAGCGAGCGCAGCTCTGAGGGCATCCATGCTGTCGGCTAGTGTAAACACAGGTCGCACACGTGATGTCAGCATTTTTTTTGTCGCGGAAAGTGACGTTGCGGACCTTAAAACTCCGGTTTTGTCTGTCCACACGCAGACACCCAAAACGGAGAAAACGCAGATCTTCACTTTGGCCGGAGTTTTTAAAAAGATCCGTTTTCGTGTGAAAAAACTCCGTTTTCGTGTGGATGACAGGCCAAAACGTAGAAAAATATCTACGTTTTGGCAGATCCCTGGCTACGTGTGGACAGGGCCTGAATACTTGTTTTCAGCACCATTATAACAAATTATTTACAAATCTAACAATGGTATGCCACTCACAATCTTAGTGCACCTATGATGGAAATTAGCCTTCCCATCTTTCAAGTGGGACAACTTGCACAATGGCTGCTAAATACGTTTTTGCCCCTCAGTAATAATATATTTTAGCTAATGATTGAGTAGCTACTAGAATATAATCACATAAAATCAGAAGCAGATCATCTTGTTCTGTGCTATCCTTAGGTTTTTCAGGTACACTGCTTAACTAAACAGTGCCGCTTTGCCCCAGTGAAAATCAAGGACTATCATCTGCATTGCAAATCTTGAACCTTCCATTTTCATTTAAACTGTGAAAGTGGGTCAAGTCCAGCAACTGCACAATACCTGTGATGGTAAAGGAGAGCTGCAGTTCTCACACAGAGCTATTACAGTATGGTCGCTACAGTAGGTGTTGGAAAATAAACATAATCTCTTCTGGGAGCAGTCGATTACCTTTAAAATGTTTTTATACACAACATAAGGATAAGGACATTCTGTAACAATAGGCTTTTACTCAACACCTTACCGGCAGTATGGGTTTCTTCTGGATGTGTAGCGGAGTGTGAGGAATCGGTAGTAAATAAAAGGCAGCAACAAGCTTCCCTGGCCACTGTTGGAAGAGACATAAATTACAAGTTTCAGAAGGCTCTTTTAGAAATGTTGTGCATTTTCACCTAAAATGAAAAAGGTGTGACACACATTATGAAATAAAGCCAAACCCTGGCATAATTATCTCCATTTCTGAATTACAGTGGTTAGAATTACAGCTGTAAACACACCTGAAGAGCATGAAAACAGTAGCTGGCATTAAGAAAATCTCGTTACAGGCGATGAACTTCAGGATGTTCTGCTGATTGGCTGCTAGTCGGTCCAGGAGGTTTCGTACAAACATCAGGCTGTTTGGGCCCATAGACTGCAGGAAAAAGTCAAATACAATTCAGATGGTGATTAAAACGCGACCGCATTTTCACAGGTGCAGAGAGTTAACAACTGCAAAGCTTTTAATACGTTTTTTAGTTCAAGTGGGCCTACACTCGTGTTTCACATAAATCTGCAGTGGTTTCTAGCATGAATGAATGCCTTATGAGTCATTATCTGTAGAAGAAAAGCTCCAGCGCTCATGTTTCAGGCAGTAGAAGTTGGCAAGAGGAGCGGGTGGCTGAAAACGGCAACATATGGAGCCTTCATCGTTAATATTCATTATATGCAAACATCTTCCCTCTGAGTGGTTAACAGCAGAGTGACTCTTCTGCTGCCTCTGTTCGCTCTTCTTTCTTGGGTTAAAAAAACGCAACCTTGGTGTTTTATTTCCAAATATAACACGAACCTGAAGGAGTTCTGCCATGTCGTTGAGTTGCTAATGCTAATGGTTAGCTTCTGCTAGCCAAGACATACTCTGCTCTCTCCTGGACACTAAAGCTCAATCCCAATTCTCGCACTGCAGTCTTCAGCAAAGTGCACTTGGAGAAAGTGTGCTGAAAGGCTTCGAGTGAGTGGTGCACAAGTGGCTACACAATGGCTGGCTGGTGTAGTGACAATTAAACCCCATTGGGCTGTGACTGACGGCCCAGCCAATCAATGAATCTTTAGGAAATTCTCTTAGGCATTCATTTTAGTATAAAAGCGTTAAACATGACAGTTGACGATTCATGACTCATACTCACATCAAGAACCTTCTTTGTGTAAGTTGTAGCATGAAGCAAAGAAAACAGGAACACTGGAAATATGCTCACTGGACACAAATGTTAAGGATCAGTCCAAATTAATTCAAAATCTAGCTCAATAAACACAAAGAACCAATCTAAGAGCTATTTATTTAAACTATAGTTTTTTTTATTAGTCAGCACTATGCCATTCATTTAAATGTATGCAAATCAATAACAAAATCAGTCTGGCCTGTGTGAAGATAAATAAGTTAAATCTGTTGACAAGTTTTCAATCTGTCTAATAATTAATCATTTCTAAGCAAAGCCTAGTGGTAGTGTCCGCCCTGGGACTGAGAGATCGGGTTCAAATCCCTGTCGGGTCATACTTTTGAGAGGTTGGACTGGGGGGGGGGGGGGGGGGGGTAAACCACCACATAGTTCCCCAGTGCAGCCATAGCTGCAGCTCACTGCTCTCCATGGTGATGGGTCAGATGCAGAAATGTAATTTCACCAGTGTGATGATGACTAATGGGACTTGGACAGTGTTCATACATTTAGACTGAAGCTGCAGGAACCAATATACACCATGTCAGACAAGGCCATCACATAGGCAAAACACATTTTTAAGCTTTCAAAGTTACCATACAGAGCACATTGGGATGAAAGGATACTCGTGATGGGATAAGAATTGACCAGGATGAGAGAGTAAAGCAGGTAATGGCAGCTGTCTTCTTGCAGAGCCTGGGCCAGGAAAGCTCTGCTCAGCTGAAAGCGTGGAAGCCTCTGGTGTAGGCGAAGCGCACTGGTGAGTGCATTGGCTAACAAGGCTCTCTGATAAAAGTTAGCTGCTGCATGAGGTCTAAAATACACAAACAGGGATATGTCACACATCTTAATGGTGATGGATAAAGGTCTAACTAATGAACAAAATCCTATGTTTGTAACTAGTGTGTAAACTCACCCCAGGATTGGTAGAATAAACATGATGGAACAGTAAACAGTAAAGAGACGAGACAGCCACATGGCAGTTTCCAGCTTGTTGGTCAGTAAAAATGGCTGCAGAACAAAATAAGATGTGAACATCCATGATTTATAAATATACACACATTATTTCCATGACTGCGTTTAACATACGAATGCTTTTTTCAAAGATTTAGAACAACATGAGTCACCATGAACAAGTAAAAAAACAGGAGGCACAGATTTCCCAAGGAATTAATGCTAAAGCATATTTAGTAGATACAAAAATGAGGTAATTTTTATTTATTCCTTAATTAGTCAGGCATCAGAGCTAACCTGGTGAGAGGCTCTTTGTGTAAGTTTTGATATGAGCTTTGATTTTTATTTGTAGAGATCTTTTAAGTAGTTCTTTTAGTAAGGTAATATGTGCAAACTGACTGAAAAAAAACTGACTGACTGACTGAAGTGTGAGACAATGAATAAATTACATTATTGAATCAGCTAAAGATTGTAATGTGTGGGACTTCTAACAGCCATCCAAGCTTGATCCTTACTTTGTACAATTCAATTAACCCATAAAAAATTGTGATACTTTACTAAAATAATCTGATATATGGACACATGCTTTGGCTGGAAGATGGATAACCTGAGGTTCACTCACCACAGGCCCAAGCTGGGGGGGCGGGGCTTGTTGGTTTGTATCAGCCATCTCTCAGAGTGTGGGTCCTCTGTCGAAAAAGAAGAATCAATTGAGATGCAGCAAAAGTGACAATGAGTGAAGACAAAGATACCGGATTGTGGTTTTCTCACACATGATTCACATTTTATAAAAGCGTAGGAAGATTTATACAGATTAAAAAAATCATTGAGAATGTCAGGCTACTTAAGTTTTAAACCCCAAATACTCCTGTGTGTGTGTGTGTGTGTGTGTGTGTTTTGCACTATGGTATTACTAAATAATATTACATCAGACATTACCACCATGTGCTCATATCTAATAGTTTCAGATTTATGTTGAAATAAAAAAACAGTACTGTTGAGAACTGACTTATCAGCATGAACACAGACATGATCAGAAGTAGACAAAAAGAAGGTTTGACGAGCCTTCAGTCGCATGTGGCCTACACTAGTTAGGGTAAATCTGCTCACTCTCACTAAGCTTTGCATGGAGAACGACAATCCGTTTCAAGGCAATTAGATTTGTCTGTAAAGTTTTACTTTATAAATCAAAAGATTGAAACACTTATTTCATTCGATCTAATTCTTAAACAGCAGCTGGTAATCTAGAACATTCTGTTACCATCGTTACAAGAGCCCTCTCAGCTAGCTGCCATTAACTACCTAGCATTTAGTTTCCTTCTATAACCATATTACCTTTATTAGGGCTGTTCCTTCTTGCTGTTTAAAGAAATACAAACACGAACTAACTCGATTATATTGGACTTGGTTATAAAACGGTGTCCGTCAGGATCGAATAATTCCGTTGCGTGAATTAACTGGCCACCACTGTAGCTGTAGCGACTGTAGTAAATGATCACCTGACCTTCTGAAGCGGAAGAACCGTGCCACATCTCGCGATGATTCAGGTAGTTGGTCCTTCTTTGCAGAAAACAGCACCGTCTAGTGGGCATAAATATTTTTGATATTTGAAACGTTTCCGGTTTTGGCTATCTTTTTTTTATTATAAATCATCCAGAGATAAAACAACACATTTACAGATCCCTCTCACGATTCTAATGTCCAAACGTTAAAAATTTATAAAATAACTCTCCACATTAAAATTAAAAAGCAATATGTGCATTTAAATGTACATTTAATTTTACCTTACGTTTTTGGTTAAAGAAATAACATAAATTCCACAACACATTTAATATTTCTAAATTAGCTGCGCCAATCAAACTGTGTCCCTGTGGAAAACCCTTTATCCCTTGGCAATTTTATATTTTAAATCCAGGGATATATGTTTTTTGTGTCACGTTGTGGTCTAAAGAAATAATTTCTTGACTTGCATTATCCAGCACCCTTGGATAAATATTACCCTAGTTCTAATCAAACATAAACATACTACTTTTATCGAGTGTTTGTTTTTAACCATCGATGCTGCGGCATTTCGCGTGTTAATCGTTATAACCACTAGAGGGCGCCCTCGACCTGACTATTTTATTACAGCAGGTTGCTCTAAGCAGGAAAATTATTTTAGCTTTAAGTGTACCTTATTTGATCCCAACATGTTTAAAATCTTACATATGGCAGCCTTTGCAGCGCATATATCCGAAGATTATTGGCATGAGTGTCGCCGGATGATGTGTTTGCTGTAGATGCCATTTGAAAATATAGGCAGTGTAAGCACTGTAGAATCTAATTATTTCTTTGCAAAACCTAATTAGGCATTAAAAAAGGTTAACGCCAGCGCCTGAAACGTTTTTGTTTAATAATCCCATTACTGCCGGCTCATCATGTATAAAATGGTGCAGGAGGACACTAAGTTTCCACTTGTTAAAGGGAATCTCTGAGAAATGGTCGCATGTTTTTGACACTATCTGGGATTGGAAATTAGGGGTTGTAATTAAACTGCGGAGACTCAGCTCAGCACTGCCCACGGAGTAAGTACGGCTGCAGCGTCCGGCCTACTTTGCATGCTTTTTCTATGTTTAGTTGATGGTTCTTTGTTTGCTGCAAAACACTAAAATTTAGATATTTATTTATTTCAAAATGTCGTATTAAGTGCTTGGGGAGCACAGAATCACCTCCGTACCGCAGCGCGCGCAGATATGACATTCTGTTCTTCTTTTCTGAAGCGCCATCTCCTCTCGGACTAGTCACTAGAGAGATCCAGGTGAGAACTTAAAGCGACACGATTTTCTGACCGGGTTTTAATAATGCATGAATCAAAAGGGAGGAATGATGGAGGACTAATCACGAAAAAAAGGTTACAGACTGATAAATGATGCGGACTTAAAAATCGACTAAAATTAAGAGGCCAACAAACGAATAGAACTTAAAACATGTTTTTTACGCGTCATTTTCGTAATTTTCTTTTTCTATTTTCCGTTTAGAATGATGAAAAATGCGAATGATTTTATTTAAGTTAATTTCTGTTGTGTGTATTTTTGCCACGTTTTGTTGATTTTTTCTCTCCTTTTCTTGTCTTTAGTTTTTTTTTAATTTACGCGCAGATTACGCACAGGTGTTTGTCACGGATATGGGTTGAATCCTAAAGTTTATGGCGTTATTCTGATAATTCAGTACTACGTTTTCCGTTTCACGATTTTTATTCTTCATTTAATCCGCTAACTAGACATTTTATCACCCGGTGGAAGTCTTTGCCAAGCCTTGTTTTAATAGGCCACAGTGTTCTAAAAGTCACACAAATGTCCACAAATAATCTTTCTAAGATTTTTAGACAAAGTCATCCACCACCTGTTTTTATTTACCAAATTTAAACGCATTCCGATATATTTTCAACAATAAAAAACCCCTCCCACTCCGCCCCACCTTTGATCTGCTTTCAAAGCTCCTTCACCAACTTTTCATGATAGAAAGGCCAAGAGGAACGAGAAAGGAGCGTGAGTGACGCACCGAAGTGAAAAGCGTCTGAATGAAACGCACTTGCGCCGTCCTGGTCTGAGCCGATGCTGGGCCAAAAACAAACAGGGCGTGGAAGCGGATGAAAATCGAGACAAGCGAGGAAGAAGAGCAGAAGAAAGAGTGTGTTTGATGTGGAGGAGAAGAGGGACACGGCAGATTTTCCTCCGACTGGTTCAAGAAACAATGAATCAACTAAACAGATTTCTATTCTTTTACCTTCTCTTCAATGCGGAACCAAAGCGTTGTTTAAAGGATAAATGCTGTGCGCTCTGATCAGTCTGAAATATCAAAATGTTGTTTTTACTCTCAGAATGTAAAATCGTGTTTAAAATTTATAAAACAAAAAAACTCTCAGAAATGTTCCTTTTTCTATTGGAAAAGAAAATAATTTTAAATTAAACTAATGTCAATGGATGTTTTATTTTATTTACATTTGTTCAATTAAATAATTTGCTTCCCGTTTTCTGTAGTTATTTAGTAAAAACACGTGGTTTGTCGTTCTGATGTGTTAGATATAAAACAGCTTGTTTATTAGGCTTCGTTGACCTTCACACCAGTTTAATTTTATTCGAGACTTAAAATATTTTATTCATTGATTTAAATTTCTAAAATTCAAAACGCTAACTTCTGACATTTTCCATTTTTCCACACCAAGCATATTGTTTGATTCCCTCATGTTTAGTCCTGTGATTTTTTTATACTCATGAGAATATCTATAGTCTTCACACAATTTGTGTGTTTGGTCTCACTCACACTGATGTGATTTGGGGACATTTAGAAACACAAAGATAACCCTTATAGCACAATTATATGCCATGTGCGTAAAAATCTCTTTTTCGCCCAACATAGACAAACGGGAAGTTTGTTTTATTTTTAGTAGAAGCTCATGGCTCTGTGATTATTCGGGAAGTATCCAGAGCCCCCCAGCAACGAACCGATCAGGGACCAAACAAAAAAGCTGATTTTTCTTGAACCTTTTGGGGAGAAGCCATGTTTGTTTGTGGTTTGAATGGGGGCCCACAATGGAACTGATGGCATCAGGATTGTCTGGGCGTTTTTCGGGGCTGTTTGACGGAATCTATTATGTCACTGGTCACCTCCCTCCACTCCTTACTCGCTTTGGTTTGAATGGGAGCGAATTAATCAAATGGTTGGAGAGGGACAACTTCCTACAGTGAAGACCTGCGGGACTCAGGCCTACCTGCACACACGCAGGTACTAAACACGCATTTATGTACAGGCAAAGTTAAACTCTACTCAAAAACAGTTAAACATCACAGCAGGCCTGGAAATGACATCAGTCTACAACTCAGATGTTTTATTTATTTATTTAATTGCGGGCTTCTTTTGGCCGTTGCGATCAAATGCATAAATGATATTATTTAATGTTTTAATTGATAAACAAAAATAATCTTTAATTTATTTTGGGTGGAAATTTTAATTAATTCCCTCCTAAATTATTTATTATTTATAATATTATTTTTTTTAAATAAACAAACAAATAAAATAAACCAAAGAATGATCTCAGATAAAATCTTATTATTTAGATAATTTCTGAAAAAAATCTACTTTTAAAACTTGCTTTATGAATCATAACTGTTGTTTGTTTATTTATTTATTTATTTGGGCAGGCTATTTAAAACACCAACGTCGTTTTTTTTTCTTTACAGGAGCTGTGACGTTATTACTTTATCAAGCACAATCAAAGTGTGAATTAATCAAAGCCCTCGCGCGCCGAGCGGAGCACCTATAAGCCCGGGCATTGTTTGGCTGTAATGGATGGCTTTAAATTTTGACGTTATTATTTCCCGTCATTTCTGGAAACAAATTGAACATTTATTGCATATATATTAAAAATTATACAGTCGTCGGGAGAGGCTGCTGTCTCTTTTATTGAGGCGCACCGAGAGGTGAGGTCTCACCGGATCAATTTCCCTGTCTTGTTACTCCCGCAAGAGGATGTTTGGAAAATGCCTGCACCGCTAAATTGATTCAGAAACGAATTCATAACTGGAGGCGCTTAAGCAATTCGGTGGCGCCTTGTTTTCTTTTTCTAATCCCGAATCATTTTCTCCCCTGTTTTGATTGAGCATAGATTTGCACCATCCTGCCCTTTCTTATCTCCGTTTGTGCAAGTTTGCCCATTTTTCATTCTTTGTTTAAAAATGCATTTAATACACTGGGTTTTGGGTGGCTTCACAAACATAGCCATTAAGCAATCACAATGCTTTTATTGTGCACTTGATCTGAAAATAGAGGCTGGTCTGACTGCGGGATCCAGACGAACCTATGGAAAAGGCCTTGTCTTTGTCCGCCTGTACGGAGATGAATGGCCCGTGTCAACCAGATGATTAGTTTGCACTATTAAATTGTCAAAAAGGAAGGATTTTCCCCTAATAATGCCTTTTGGTGAAGAATTATGGAATTCAGAGCTGTTTGCAACTGCTGGGGAACTTGCAGGGCTTCGCAGGGGCGAGGGCGAAGGTCAGACAGAGTTCTCATCGCTGCGTCCAGTGTGGCGCGCAGCAGTCAGAGGGGAGCCGGAGACAAATGCGGGTCTATTTCCTGCACCATGGGAAGATTTATCCCTACATTGTTCCACATGAACGAGATCGATGCAACAGCAGTGACGTTCAAACCTCCTGCGCCGCTGTGTGAGTTTTACAACATGCGTAAAATCCATGCGTAAAAAGTGCGATGATGCCAGTGGAGTCACCTGTGGCAATCATAATTTATCTAGTTTATATTAACTGTAATGGTATCACATTTGCACGAAAAAGAACTTTTAAACAGGCCTATAGTTCTAAAGGAAAATCTTAAAAAGCATAAAAATGCACAGAGTTTCTCAGACCTGTGGCCACACATGAGCCGTCTCTCCTCTTGCCTTATTAGCCTTTTCTCCATCCAGGAAACCCCCTCTATCCCGCCCAACTTCTATTCTAGTGCCAACGTTTTGTGTTAAATGTTAACAACTTGGCCTGATCCATTTAATCGGCAACAACAAATCTGTGTTGACTCTAACACTCGCCTCCATTGTGTCCATTATGCTCCTGCCCTCAGTTGAAGATTTATGTATTTTTGATATTAAATTCCTTCTGTCATCAAGGCTGCTCTCTTGTTGACTTTTCTTGACCTGGTGACCCAGTTCCCCAAACTTTCCCATATTTAACGCGAACCCCCCCCCCCCCCCCACACACACACACACACACACAGCTCTGCTGCAGCTCAATGCTCTGCAGCTCCTTCTGTTTGCATGTGCTGTTTGCACTGTTCTTGAACTTCAGTGCGCTGCCCTGTCCTCGTCCTGTACGCTGAACCCTGAGGAGCAAAGCTTCCTTCAACATAACAGCGTATTGTCCACTAACCCTTGAAGTCATTTGAAGAAAACCAGAACTACTGGCCAATCCGGGTTCAGTGTCTGATCTCTATAAACAACAATTTGCCCTGCACACTTCACTTATGTTTTGTAAACTGAATTCATCCTCAGAGTGACAGATGCCCACACACCTTCGCCACATATGACGTCCATGTCGTCTATACAAGCCTCCCTCTGGCTGCCCAGCTTGCTAATTAGTTAAACAAACATTAATACTAATGATCCCACTGGCCTGGGGAGCTCTGGGGGTTTTGTTCGCCTACTTTGTCTCAGCTTCTCCTGTTGGAAACTTGGCCCCCGCTGACCCGAGTTATCACAGGGCTGCAGAGGCGCTTGGACCGCCCTGGCCGGAGTCCATCCCCCCAGAGGCCAAAGGGCAACGTCCAAGGCCCGGGAATGCCACCACCAGCTGCTTGGGGTGACACCATTTACAAAAGGGGCTGGTGAGCAATCCTTCTATGGGCTGTCAGAGCTGAACTGACATTTAGTTACCCATCGGACCAAAAACTGGAGGTTTGTTTTGAGCAACAAGATTTTTTTTTTGCCCTTTAAAGAAAACTCCACATTCTAACCAGAAACATTTCATATTTTGCATGAGCTTTTGATCATAAGACAGTCTAATACTTTCCATTTTAGTCT